GTCTCTGAGCCTAATTTCCAGGCTTCAGGTATCCTGGGAAAGCAGCAGAACAGGTGTGCCTCTGTCTCATGGTTACGATTTTTGAGTTTGTCAATGTGAGGCAGCTTTATGAGTTGTGATTTGGATCAGAAAATGCCCCAAAGGGCAAAAAGACTGCTGAGCTCACCTTCCCAGGTTGTGCCCTCTACAAGGCACAGAATGCTTAGAAATGGTAACAGAGTACAGCACAGACCTGGAATTAATTTAATTGCTGCACTGTCATGACACATTTGTGCCGTGTTTTATGAGTCTACACAAGGAGCACTGGTCAGAATTGGAGAAAGTGACTGACATCTGGCTACTGTCTTTCCCACTTAAACCTAGTCTCCAGGGAAAACATTTTTTCCCCACATTTCCCAATCTGGGGGCTCCCCTGAAGTAATACTCCTGTCCTGATCTTTATATTACTTGCCAGATCTTCTCTCTGGGAAGGGAAATTGTTATCTTACTTAGTCATCACCTTAGTTCAGTCTCTCTTCATTTTCACACTTTTTTCCTGGCTACCTAAAGAAAAGGTACATTCTTTGATGCTTCCTCAATGTGGGAAACTTTCTGTTCTATACAGGGTGGGCCTTCTGTTTGGAAGGCAGAGAGAATGGGCTAAATTCTGATTTGGCACAGCATTTAGAAAGACCATTTGTTCTCACACTGAGCCCTGTTGTTTATCAATATTAAAACTGACATTATCTCCATCTGTCCGACTCCAGCATCTACCTCTTAGTGGCTCCAGCATAGGCCATAATAACACTAATATTATGTATTTTCCCTCTTACTCCAACAAATCATAATATCTCATTATCTCTGGTTCTCAATGAAACAAAGCACAACTCTCTTTGTCCTGGCAAGAGCACATCTATGCTGTTTCCNATGTACAGTAAATTTTAATAATACCGATGGTGATTGTATGTGAGTCACACACAGTGAGCTCCCTTCTTTAGCTGTCCTCACATCAATGATTTGAGTATTTTCCTTGCTAACATCCTCACCCTCTAGCTTCTGTGCCCTTGCTTTCGATGTGTTATGAAACAAAGTCTCAACACATAGTATGTGTTTGGAAAACGTTGTTTACTCTATTTTTGTGGAAATATGTCAATAAAAATGATGTTGTTAATGATGATGATATTTTCAGCTACTTTTTTTTAGTGTTGTTCAACTTCAAAGAAATGGACTTCCTGGAAGCCAGTCCCAAATTTTAGCTCACAATGAATTCTACTTTCTTCAGAGCAGCTTAACTCTTCAGTGTAACCAACAGAGCCCAACAGTGTATTTGGCCATGGGCCATTCAAGTCAGATGTTGGCGAGAACATTTCCACCTGTCTGCCTTTGTATATTAATATATTTCCTTAGTTCATTAAAACATTTCTTAGTAAGAACTTCTAAAGCAATCAATTGTCCCTATTAAATTGCCTCCTCAATAATATAGTCTTTCTATCCAGGTCCATATCCTCCAAACTAACTTTTCCCTGGATCCTCTAGGATCACAGTAGAAATTATTCTGAAGCATTGGTTGGAATTTCTCGGACAGCAGCTTACTGGGAATCCTCTGAAGGCATTGTCACTGTCCCTCAGCCCCTCCTGGCTTGCCTTCCCTCCTTAGCCGATCTGGACTACACGTCATAATCCGTGTCTGTTTACTAGTCACGTCTCCCTCCAATTTATCTGGCTGACAAAACTTCAGTCGTGTGGTGGACGAACCCGACCCTACACTATCTCCTTGCCAGAATTTTTGTTTGGTTCTTTTTCCAATCTGCCTGGTCAAATTTACAGTAAGTAATTGCCTCATAACAAATTCTGAGATCATCTTTTGTTTCTTCGGACATAGGGTGTTTGCTTCAGCAGCACATACGATATTTCTTTGGAGATAGGAAATATAGTTATTTCAGAGTCTCTCTAATCATTTTCCCTCTGAAATCTTTGTGAGCTATTTTTGTAGATTTTCTATTTCTGCTGCTTCTAAGTCATAGTGTTTGTATTTTCATGATGTTTGTGTTTTTTCTTATGAACCTAATCAGATTCTTGAGATTCTTTGATGCAGTGCCAGGCAGTATAGTTATGGAAATAATTTTTGGTCTAGCATGGCTGTATCTTCCTTTAGAGAAAATGGTATTTTGTATCTGCCAAATGTGTGGAAGTACAAACAATCTGGGGGGTCTCTGAGCCTAATTTCCAGGCTTCAGGTATCCTGGGAAAGCAGCAGAACAGGTGTGCCT